AATATGCAGAACTGTGTGAAAACTGGGATTTCTTATGTTTTGAAGAATAGAGTAACACGTAGTAACATTTCACCTCTCAACTAAGAACTTCAGGAATTGGGACAGGTGGAGAGAGGTCTTAGCAATGGCAGTTTGATGAGAAATGAATTAATTCGATTATTTTCATGGTGTGGATCAATAGTAGTTGGCCTCCACAGCGGCCCCTGGCCTGAAGGCAGCTGGATAATCAATAGGCTCACACAGAGGCAGCTCTCCTCCCCAGCAGCCTCTCTGATCTTTTCTGGGTGGACTCTTCACGCCTGTGTAATTCTAATTTATGTCAACCAGAAATCAAAGAAATTCCAAGAGGCTTTGGTCATAGGACATTGGGGTGGAACTTTCACAATCTATTTGTGTCTATTCCTTAAGTAATGTCGTCCACAAGGCCCTCTAGGCGCCTCTACTGGCCAAGGGGAAGAAACCTCCCAGCAGAAGGGCAGCTACCTGCTCAGGGCCTAGGTGGAGGAGTTGCACTGGGTGAATCAAAGAACACTTTCTCCTTCCTGTCTATAACTCTGCAGGGACATAAGAACTAAGCATTTTAAGCAAAATGCTTTGCCAAGAGTGGCTCCCTCAATAACGCTCTTTAATGATACCCCAGACGTTGGCATTTTCAAATCAAATGAACAGTGTATAAAATTAGTTCTGCATGAAGTTAAAAAAAAAAAAAAGAAAGTGAAAGGGAGCTTTTAAAAGCTCCAGCATTTCTCCATCCAACTGCTTTTCACAAGGGTTTGGCATTTGAGAATTGCTACGTTTATGATGTTATTCACTGCTCATAATTCAGGCCTGTGTCTCCAAACTTCTGTATTAACACACACTGCAGAGGTTTCCACCACAACATTTTATCACCAAGGTCTCCCAAACCAGCCAGGCTGCCTCTGGCGAGGTCTGGTTTCTCAGCCAATGCCAGGCCACTGTGCTCCCTCCCTTCTCATCAACTTTGTTACCCCAAACATTTTTCATTAACCTTGAACACTGCATTTCCATTTGCCCTACAGCTTTCCCATGAAATTTTTTTTGTCCTTTTCAGTTTTGTTCTTCATCCAAACTGCCTTGTAAGAAATGAGAAAATATCATATTATTAGAAGAAACAGATCTATAGAGAATCTAGAATTCACTGAAGTCATGAAAACAATTTTTATGACCAAAGCCACTGACTGTCCATATTTGTGGAAACCAGAGTAAACATATTGCTCTTATTAGAGAGTCCCGTTGATTATACAAGTATTTTAAACTAAATCACCAAATAAATGTGAGTTAAGTTGATAGGAGATTTGGGGTCAACTCTAATTCCCAAGGTCAAGTAAGCCTTTGAACCATCTTTAAGAATATAAGTTCACCCCAATTCATCAAAGCCGTCTCACACAGTGTTTTCTTCTTTTGGTTCTTACAATGCACTAAAGTTTAGGAGATTAAGTGGCGTCAGCTTTAAAACCCTCTAACATGCTTATCCATCCAGCAATCGGAAAAGCTACTCAAACAGAGGCTTCTTAATGCACTTCCTGACTTTACAACTGCATGGGGAATGCCGAATTTGTTGAATGACTGGAGGACTCCTCTCTAGGAATCAACAGTGTTGCAGCCAAATAAGTTTACTGCAGCTTCACTTAGCCATTGTTTGACAATCCAAGTACTGTTGCTTTCATCTGTAAAGAATATGTTTAATGTTTCTCATTTGTTCTCTGCTTACCTAACAAGAGAGACAGAGAGAAGAAAAATACTTTTTTTCCTACAATAATATAATGCATTTGTCATTCTTGCAATTCCTCCAAAGTTGAAGTGAGGAAAAAAGCATCAGTTTGGTAAACTATAGCCTATGAGTTGAGTATAATTGTCCCCAAATGAAACTGACTGAATGGGAAAGAAAATGTAACTAACTTCAATATTTCTCAGAACCACAGGATCATAGAACATTGGCAAAAGAACACACAGACCTCACAAACCCCATCTCTCTCTCCACAGTGCAGCAATTCCACTGACAACATTTCTGATCAGGGGAGTTAATTGTGTAGATGCTGAGGTCTCTTGCCACCCCTGCTTTGTCTCCAGTTGGTATGCAGAAACAGGGAGGAGAACGCTAATGAGTTTTACAGTGGTTAGCAAATGTTGTAAGGTACAGAGGAATGATGGGTCCAAATTAATTTTGCTCTTGAATGCTTTGTTGGCATAGATGATTACAGACTGAGATAAGCAGTGGAAACAGAGAAAAACTATGATTAGAGTTTGGAGAGAGTCTAATCATAGTTTTTCTCGGTTTCCTGCTTCCATTCTTATTTTTCACCTTCATTTTTCTTATTATTTTCTGTTTTCCTACCTTATCTTTTCTTGTCTTATCTTCAACTCACCCTTTTCTCCCACTGCAAATCTTTCCTTAGCCCCATGCGTGAGTAGATGGTTAGTAAGTAGATTACAGTGTCCCATTAGTTTCCCATTATAAAGTGTGTAGAAAATGCAATTACTGACATCTTTGTATGAAAAAAAAATCTTAATTTTGAATTTAGGTGGAAAAAAGTACAAAAGCAACATCTTCTCTAATCTTAGTTTATTTTGTCCCCTTTCTTTTAAATTTCCTTTCAAAATGGGATCACAAGTGATATAATCTTTTCTCATCTGGAAATTCAAATATCATAGCACAGGTTAACATAATGACATTGATAACAAGAATAATCAGCACACAGAAAATTTTATATATAACAGACATTATTCTAAGTGCTTTGTATATGTTAACTCATTTACATGCTCACAATTCTGTAAGATAGGTACTAGTATCAACCTTATTTTACAAATGAGGAGACAGGCACTGAGAGGTTAGCTTACTGCCCAAGATGACACAACTAGTAAGTACAGGGCCCAGAATCAAACCTGAACTCTGGCTCCAAAGACCATGCCCTCACTATTAACTTCTTTCTTTGGAAATCATTTTTTGAATCTTAATGATAACTTAAAATCTGGAGATGGATGGTATAATACAAAATCTGAAAACTGAATAGCTATTTTAGTCCAGTTTTTCATCCAACTAAACCAACCAGTAGGTTTTTCTGTGCAAGGCTTTACTTGTGCTTTGTATGTGGTTTGGAAACGTCTTCCATTCTCACAGAGCCTCTTGTGTTTGGCTCCTAGCTGCCTTAAGTCTGAGGAAGCCAGATAGCAAAGCTGGGTCCAGCATCTCCCTGGGCTGCGCTGCAGCAGGCTCTGACCAGACAGCATCGTGCTAGAGCCAATGGGCTCTCAGAGCAGCTCTCTGGTTGGAGGAAAGGACCCTGAAGCCACTGGAGGAAAGGCCTAAAACCCTCAGGGATGCCACTAATCAGAACAGTGTCTCCATTTAATTGAGGGCCAATTTGCATTTGGGTAGAAAATAACCCATTTCTTAGCTTAAAATCAGCAAAATGTTGGTCAGCAAATATGTCTGGAATATTCTTCTCATGTACTAACTAGAACATAAAACTTCTACAATTTACCTCTGAAAGTGGAACTGATCTTAACAAATCTAAAGAGTACAAACTAGAAATATGGCAATTTCTGACATTAGTTGCAGACACATAACATATTTGAGTACATACATTTTGGTGTTTTTGGTTAGATAACATTCATGTAGAATCCCTTCTGGTGGAAGCCGAGGAGCTCTGATGTCATTGCTTCTCGTTTCTAGAGCACTCTGCCTACCGTGGACCCTTCAACTTGTTTTTAAAAAAGTCATTTTAAAGTGGCAGGGTTAGTGGCAGCATTAGGTTAGTTAGCAGTAAGATTTGAGGGAGATTTGCAGCCCCTGGGTCTCAGTGCTGTTGCTTACTTACAAAGTAAGTCAGCTTTCTAGGCTGTGCTGAGAATATACAACAAAATCTCTCTAAACACAACTAACTGGCAAAGGTCGAGTATAAGTTGGGATTTTAAAGAGTTTTGAGAAAATAGTCAATTAACAAAATGACGAAGCACATGAGGGATTTGGGCCATTTTTCTGTTTGTCCCCACATTTGATACATTTAGAAAATGTATGCCCTTTGAGAGCCACGTAAATTTAGTTTCACATTCTTTTGCTAGATTTGTCCCTAAGCATCATTTGCAAAAGTGGCAAACAAGTGTATATTAGTATAAGATGACAGCACTGTCTGAACAAGTATTGGAGTCTCCCCATGGCTAGAGACTGTCCTCAAGAGCACTGGACACAGATTCCAAAGACCTGGAGTGAAGTCCTGGCTGAGTGTCCTTAGGCCAGTGACTTGTCATTCTGGGCTACCATTTTTTCCCTTTCACAATGCAAATAACTATTTCTTAGACTTGTTGGGAAAACATGGAAATAACAAAAGGGGAGAACACCTGTCTAGTGCTTGGTGTTCAATATGGACCATTAGTACATTTCTTCTCAATCTTCTAAGGGCCCCATGTTAAATGTGGTACTGTTTTCAAACTCATACATCCCTGGGCCAGCTAGATATACCCCCTCACTGGCCCTTTCTTACCACCAAATGGCCAGAAAACATAGATGTTGAACACTAAAATCACATACTTGTGAAAAATCAATTTGGCACTGTTCTTTCTACCTTTACTGTTGCTGGAAACTTGGCACCCAGAATAGAATTTTATGATTAGACCCTTCAAAGTGTAATTTGCCATGCAACCCTTTTAATTTTTGGTCCATGGACTTATAAACAGGATGCCAAAATCTATGTTGACTGTGTATGGAGTTGCTTTTTCTTTCTGTTTGAGCACAAAATTAATTATTAAACAGAAAAATGCAAACAATCTCAGATTGTTTAGAAAATCAGGTAAACAATGCATAGCTACAATAGCATGTATATAGCATATATATAGTCACACATATACTATGTATCTATATGTAGGATATATATGGGGAGAGAGAGAGAGAAGAGAAGAGAGGGAGAGAGAGGGAGAATGTGACATCAAGTTATAAACTATACCCACATGCAGGAATAAAAAATGTGACAGACAGCTCTTACTTTATCACATCTCATCAGTCCCAAATATCTCAGAGATTTGCTGCTCTGTGCAATCAGGGTGGCTCCTTGATCTGTAATTTCTTTACACCATCCAACATCCACAGTCTCTATTGTCATGCTGTATCGTCCAATGGCTATCAGTGCTACAAGGAGGGACAGAGAGAAAGCAAGCATTAATATTAGCAGTGTAAGGGAATGCTATCTTATTATGACTACTTCTCTCATTTCCTCATTAAATTTGTTTTTGAAATGTTGTGTGTAAATGAATGTTTTATAAACTAAATTAAATTTGAAATGCTTTAGGAAAGTCTCCCTATGACAAAGCCTCTTGCAAAGTGAATAATTGTTCCATAATTTCCCTTTCACTGGATGCAACATTTTATCAGTTTTATTCATTGCAAGGTTACCTGTACATATCTTCAAACATTCATATTTGCAGAAGGAATACATTAAAATGAATTACAGACATAATATTACAAGAAACTCCAAGTACTAACTAAATTTTACCCAAGATAACATTAATAATTTTTAAAAAAGAAAAACCCATGTAAACACCATTTTGAGGTGTGTTTTACTGCATGTGAATTTCTTTACCAATTGGCATAATTTTTTCCATCTGTTCATGACCTGTAAAATGTAAGAGTATATAATATTTTTCACATTAGTCTTCTTAGGACTATTAGGAATTAACAGTACATTATACATACAGCCATGCTAGAGTGCAGTAAAGGGAATGCATTTGTTATGGTGAATTTCCTCATCATATCAGAAGTCTTCCTTCTGCTAATATATAAAATGAAGCCTGTTGTCTGAAAACTATGACAGTATCTCTAGTCTTCTTGACTGTTTACCACTGTACCACTACTAAAGTGTAGACACTTATGCTGTGATCTACAATGTGCACTTAATACTGCAAAGGTCCATAACCCACATCCCATCAGAGCCACCATAGGTGAATGTGGCTATTTCCTATGAACTTCTGACTTGATAAACATGTACACCTCTAAATTTATGGAGCAGAAACACAGATTTCCATACGTCCATGACCAGTTTCTGGTGCACTGGTTTGTGAATTAAAACTCCCCAAATAATGCCACATATATTAAAAAGGAAGATAAATGGTTAGTTAATTATTTCCTTATTCTAAGATAGCATAAGTTGATTTTTGTGACATTAAAGGCAGATGATATTTCCCCGAATGTGTTGACTAGATTGATAAGAGCAGAGCAAATTACTCATGTAAATAAATGTTAACTTTTACAGCTCACAGAAAAGAATAATTGGCAAAGTGTCACTGCGAATTACCTCAGTAATTTTGATTTTTTACCAGAAAACCCATGACCATAACTTCCAGCATCACAGCACTCCCAAGTAGCCAGATATTTAATGTTTACGAAAACAACAATTATGATCCCAGTGTTTTCTGGTAAAAAAAACAAAACAAAACAAACTACAGAGGAAGAATTTTTTTTTTCTAACTTCCTCACGAACCAGCAGTTTGTTGATGCTCTCATCTTTGTACGTTTTCCAAGGGGTAGGTAGGGGATTTGCCAATTATTAAAGGTTTGCTGAAATGGTCTGGATAACATTTCTTTTTTTTTTGAGTTGGAGTCTCACTCTGTCACCCAGACTGGAGTGCAGTGGCCGCTCCCGGCCACTGCAGCCTCAACCTGCTGGGCTCCAGCAATCCTTCCGCCTCAGCCTCCCGAGTAGCCGGAATTACAGGCGTGCGCTGCCATGCCCGGCTGATTTTTTGATTTATTGTAGAGATGAGGTCTCGCCAAGTTGCCCAGGCAGGTCTCGAACCCACGGGCTCAGGCAATCCACTCACCTCAGCCTCCCAAAGTGCGGGATTACAGGTTGAGCCCGGCTTGGATAACATTTCATGTAGTAGGAACAACATTCCAGGTTAATCTCATTGGTGTCTCTGACCTAAGAAAATTGTTCTCTCTGGTATTGTCATAACTTTCATTGCTTATGATATCCTGAAGATCTCCCATGATAAAAAACAGTAGGGAGATACATAAAATAAATCCCTTTCAATACAAAGTGCTCAAACTGTGATTTCCAAAGATGACAGAGCACAAGTTGCAAAATGGCCCAAGGTTGGTAGATTGTGTATAGTTGTTTTATTGAGGTCTGAGGCTAGAATATGAAAGCCCTAGACTATCTAGAAATCAAATGATATGAGAAGCTTCCAGGGCCTGGTTTATAAGCAGATAAAGAGTCAATAGCTATCTACTCTGGGTAGTGAAATCACTGATGTTTTGTATTTTTCTTTTATTTCTTGTACAAATTATAATGCACAATAAATAGGACAACTGAAGATAAATTAGGGTACTCAGTTTTTGTTTTGACCAGTTCTATGAACTGAAGTTAGAATTAAACTTTATTATTTCTTAAGTCCTTCATTTATTCAACAAATACCTCATAAGCTCTAGAGTATTTCTGCCAATATTTATTGACTACTTTCCATGTGCCAGGCTCTGAGAGAAGAATTTAGCTACATTATCTGATTTACTCCTCGCTGTGACCCTATGAAGTCTTATTGTTATTTCCACCATAATGGTCAGGAAACCGAGGCATAGAGAGATTGAATAACTTTCCTAGTATCATAGGACAGTAAGAGGTGGAGTAAGGTGGGAACCAGTTGTCAGACCTCGTTGCACATGAGATCTTCTGAATCAGAATCACAGACCCAGGCACCTAGCAATTCTCACAGGCTGCACTACTGGCAGTGGAACTATGGTGTGACATACTGGGCCTCTGCTGGGCACTGGGAATACAAAGATTCGTGGAGCTCAGAGGCCAGCTGAGTGGAGGTGGGGGCTGGAGATGAGTGTGGTGGAAATAAGAAACAGCCAAGTAAATAGTCACAGTGCAATGCTCATCCCTCACCTCTTTCCATTCCTAACTTCTCCTTTCAGATCTCAAGTCAAAGGTCAGTTTGTCAGAATTGATCAACCTCTCATTTACTGCTATTGGGAATGTTATTTGTTTACTTTTAATGGTCCACTTCCCCCTTAGAGTGAGAGTTCCTACGCCGTGTATCTAGTGACTAGCATGTGCCTAGTGCAGAGTAGGTTCTTAACAATATTAGTTGAGTACACCAACTATAAGAGAGGCATACACAGGGGGCATGGGAACCCCTTACTCCTCAGAGGAAGAGGGATACCATGGAAGCCCTCACAGAACAACTTAGCTAGGTTTCGAAGGATGAGCAAGTATTCTCCAGAAAAACAAAGAAGGACAAGTATGTTGCAAAGGAAATGGCATGTGTAAAGGCGGAGAGATGAGAAAGGACAGGGAGGGGAGTTGCAGGTCAGCGTGGCTGAAGTAAAAACAAGTACAAAAACGTGGCAAGATTCATTGCAGACATACTTCTTCAATGACTAATGGTACTAGGGTGGACACATAGGATACAGAAAAGCAAAAACAAGCAGAGTGCTCGATATAATGAAGCTTATGATCTAGTAGAAGAGACAGATGTGAAACAAATATAGAAGTAAATATAACTCTAAATTGTGCAAGTGCACTGAAGGAAATTGACTGACCACTGTAGCAGAGAATAATATTTAAATGAGAGGTATCGGGAGGGTCTCCCTGATGAAATTACTCTTAATCCCTCTAACAGCCCTGAAGAACAATACCCATTTTAGAGATAAGAAAAGTGAGATTAAATAGGTCACCAAGGACCCACCTATAATAAAGGGGCACTAAGATACAAACAGATTGTTTGGCTACAAAGCCAGTGCTTATTCTGTTACAGCAGCAGCACCCAAGGTGGGTGTGACGACTGTACATATTCAGAATGTATTTCTCTTTACCTGGATTCAGGATTTAAACATTACTGCTTATGGGTAGCTGTTTACCGTGTGACCATAACAGAGGCTTGATGGAATCTTCTGATTCCAAAATCTATACCAAGTAATTTATCTCTTTCTGAATATGTTGTGCTCTTGATCACAAGCTAGCTGTGAAACCTGTAGTGTGATATAGTCTCAGGTTCAGTTCTAGCCTTCTACTTAGTATATGTCTGACCTCAGGATGACATTTAACTTTTCTGAGTCTCAGCTTTCTCATCTGGACAATAGGAATGTTGATTATATGTTTTGCCTACTTCACATGGTTAGTCTGAGGTTCAAATGAGATATTAGATGTAAGGGACTTTGCACTTACATAAATGTCATGATTTATTTGATATTTCCCCAAACCATCCTATAGTGGTGCAGTTGATATAAAATGAAAAGACTTGAAGGAATTTTGAAAAATAAGAAGTTCTGGGCAAATGATAGCATTATATAAGTACTTAGTCATTATGTCACTTCTAGAGTTCTTGAACTGCCTACTCGCTATTGATGATCATGAACTTGTAGTCTGCACCTGGGCTGATAGGGCTGCAAATGTAGTGTATGATTACTACCTTCATTAGGGGATGTTGACACATTACAATGGTATTTATTGAACCTTGGAAAGGGATAAATTATGTGAGACTAATTCCTTTTTCCAATTCAATTTTACATACTTTTTTTAGTGTGCTAAGTGCAACTAATGAAGAAAGTTGGATTTTTAAAAAGGTACACAAAAGTTGTAGTTCAGTAACTTGCATCCTGATCAAGGATATCCATTAACCCACTAATAGTCATTTTCACAGGCATACAGGGGACAGAGTGACTGAAGACATAGCATATATGCACTTAATTTTAGCCAAGAAATTACATTTCTAGAAATCTGCTCTGAAAATTTGCCTCTATCAATGCAAAATTATATATATAGGCTTATTTACTGGAGCATTCACTGTAATTGCAAAATAAGAGAAACAGCCTCAATGTCCATACATAGTAGAGTGGTTGAATGAACATGCCATACCCACAGTACTATACAGCTGTAAAAAACGAGTAAGGAAGATCACGAGGAATTAATTTGGAGTGATTTCCAAATCATTAAGTGAAAAAAGCATAGCAAAGTGAAAAAGCAAAAGAGTTTATATGGTGTGCTACCACTCTTTATTCACAAAAGGGAATACAATGAAATACATACAAATTGGCTCATTTGTGCAAGAGAAGTATGGGTGAGATACACCAGAAAACACGAAAGACTGTTTAACTCTAAGGGCTGGTAAAAAAGGAGGGGAAGGAAGCAA